AATGGCAGGTGTACCAGCCTCAAATCTGCTCAAGTTAAATGGCTGATATGTAAAACTCCAAAATTAGCAGGTTTAGGTTAAGGAATACAGAATAATTAGAGGTGAAAACACCAAAATTCCCATAAACTAGCCACAAAAAACATGGAGTTTTAACATTTTTATTGGAGGTCAATTGCCAAGCTGAAAAAAAAAAAAAAGTACAATAAAATAAAGTGAAAGTTAATACAGACTTGATAGAATGCAAACCAAATTGTATGCTATGGAAAAAGGAAAAATTCATAATACATGATCTTATGTAACATTATTTGCAGCCACAAGTGGCAACTCCTGACCTCCTGCATTTTTTAAATTTAAATAGACAATCCCTTTCTTCTTATGTGTTCAACCAACTACAAAGGAAAAAGTAAATTCAATGAAAAATACTGCAGAAGATTTAATCCCATTCTGATTAGAGAAACAAAGTATAAATAAATATACCAGCAAAATGACAAAGGTTGCAAAAGAATTTTTTTACAAACAAGGAGTAAAATTTCAAAAACATGAATACAAAAAGTTACGGTCAACTGCAGTTTAGCTGAATGAACTGACAAAATACAAGACAAACTGGTTGTATAGCACAGGAAGAAATAATTTTGCGCACCAATGACTATGGGAGAATGCGTCAATCTGGGCCCTTCAAGGAAACAACAGACAACAAAATGAAATGGTCTTTAGGCAGGAAAACAAAAAAATCCTCAGTTGTGGTTGTCTGTCATGCTTTGATACACCAAAGAAGAAAGCATCTTAACATTTTGCCCCTCAAACTAGAACGTGTTACTATAAAGAAAATATTACACCACTTGCACCTTTTCTTGTCTACTTTCTTTCTCAACCATTGTGCATGGCTTCTGTTTGCAGATGGTAAGAAATGGAATTCTAATAGAAGTTACAGAAGACAACCCTGATCAGCTAACCAGTTAGTTGGTTATTCAACAAAATCTACATGTGACTATATAAGAGGCATTACCATGCTTTAGGAAGAATAGGAGGAGGATGAAAAAAACCCGGAGACTAACATTTTGAGCTGCTTGTTTCCATTAAAAGACTCCCACTAGAAACAGTGGCTGAATGACTGAACTGAAGAATTGTCATTAAAAAAGAAAATGCATCTCATCACATTACTGTGAGGTTAATCGCACATCATGACAATAACGATCAAGGTTTGCAATCCTTGTCAGCATCCAGATGCATAAATATCTTTGTATTTAAATTTAAATGGCATTGTATTCATAGGAGAAATCTTTTTCTTTCTATTACTTTTCACCACCAATTCTTACTTCAACATTTTTTTTTCCCTTCCTTCGGGTAAGGGTTATTTAGCTTTAATTCCACACTTAACCAGCAGTACTAGGCTTTTCATTACCCCAAGAAGAATTGATTATAGGATACAAATTTTCCTTTTCATGAATGGGAAAATTGGACAAACAGTTGAACAAATACCAACCTTGACGGTGGTTCAGCATACGTCGAATGATCCAAAAAGACGTCAGCTATCATTTCACCACCACCTGTGATTCAAAGAAAGTGATATTAGCAATAAGATGATATATGACGACAAGCCTCAATAGTCTCAATGCCCTGTAGATACTGCTATCTGCAAGGTATACAGAGATATAAGCCAGAATTGCTTACCTAAGAAAGGCGGCATGGCATTCAAGAGGTCACTCTTACCATATAAGAGTCCAATGCCTGTAGGGCCACACATCTGAAGCATAATTATTACCTAATTTCAATAACTGATGTGTAGGAATTGATGTTAAAGCAACAGAGAATGACCTAACCTTGTGAGAAGAAGCCACAAGAAAATCAAGACCAAGTTTCTTCACATCAACGACCATGTGTGGAACACTTTGGCAAGCATCTACAAGCACCTTTGCACCAACATCATGTGCCCAACTGGCTATTTCATCAACTGGGAGAACAGAAGCTGCAAAAGACATCAAATCATGCCAATATTAGCAAAATGTGCCTCAAATTTTGGAACTCCTATTATTTGTTCACTCGTCGACAAATATTCTACAGCTTTGGCCCCCTCATTTGAATAGAATAAAATGAAATATCACCTTCATCTTTGCATAAGTTGATTTGAGTGGGAATTTCACAAAATTTTACTCACCTAGCATATTTGACACATGATGGACGGCAACCAGTTTTGTTTTCTTAGATAGCATTTCCTTCAACTTTCCTACATCAGGAACTTCATCCTCCGTGAGTTCCAAAAATTTGAGATTTGCACCAGTCTTTTGAGCTACAAGTTGCCAGGGGACAATGTTGCTGTGATGTTCAGCAATTGTCAGCACAATCTGCAAGAATTAAGCAGCAGGATAAGACATGCAACACACGATCAATCTGATGAAAAAATGGTATCAAGAATACGCCTCAGCCATTCAGCAAAAACAGAAAAAAGACAAAAAGAAGTAACAATGACCATCTAAATGTTACAGCAAATTTCAGGATATTTGAGCGCCAATTTTTACAGGTATTTCTCCAAGGAGAAGTCCCTCTATAGGATGTTAAGCTGAAAAATGCATCACTAACACCTTATACAACTTTAGTCCTTCTAGAAGTAAACGGAGTATAGATTCAATTGCTTACATGACAATTAATCTTGGGTATCAAAAGATTGAGAATTTCACAAAATCCTGGACGGAACAAATGTTTTACCATGTGATATTAGTTGACATTAATTTTCTAAAGTATCCCCTTCTTTGAAAAATGATGAGTTGACTTAAAAGGCCAAAACACGTGTATGTACATCCCTAAGTATATGTATATTTCCAAATCATGTGTACGAGAACTATACACAAATCACAAAGATTCTGCAAGCACTTAACCAGTCAAAAGGTAGAAAAAAAGATGCCCATGCTTAGGCACACAAAGTTTTACTTAGGGTGAAAAAGTCTACACTTCATTTATCTAGCACTAATAATGCTAAGTATCAAAAGTAGGAACTTTCAAAACAAATCAGAAACAATATTTGGAAAATTAAAGAGAAATAAAAGATTCCAAGAGGAAACCTCGTCTTCTGGCCTTAAGTTAGTTAGTCCCCAAGAGTACGCCACGAGGTTGATAGCTTCAGTTGCATTCCGTGTGAAAACAATCTCCCTGGATTCTGAAGCATTGATAAAATTTGCAACCTTCTGTCTGGCTAGTTCATACTCGTCCGTTGCCCTTGCACTAAATTCAGAACAAACGTATAGATCGTTTCAATAAAGCCACACATTACATTTTCTATAATAACAGCAATATTTCCAACTACTCAACCATCACTATTGTATCGAATAGCAATTGTCAATTCGGGTACTAATCATGACAGCAAGTCCACTGGTTAAGCAAAAAAACAATAAGCAGGTACCTCAAGTAATGAATGCCACGGTGGACATTAGAATTGTAAGACTCGTAATAATTCTGTATAGCTTCCAAAACAGCAGTTGGCTTCTGCGAAGTCGCCGCATTGTCCAAATACACAAGTTTTGAGCCATTCACTGCCTACAAAAATCAGGAAACAATTCACTAAACAAGACAGCAATGTCAAAATTCAAAAAGAATAAATCTTTTTTAACATTTAAATCATGTAATTGCAACCAAATAGCAGATTTACCAATTATTTAAAATTTCTCAATTTAGTAATACGGATACAGCAAAGAGAAGCAGAAGTACTTAGAAAACATAAAGCGTCACGGTAAAAGCTCTGCAATTGAAGAAGAAGAAGAAGACGGCGAAGGACTGACTACCTGGTGGAGAATAGGGAAGTCCGGTCGGGTGATGTGCCCGAGAGAACCGGGTCCAAGTTTTTCGCTGTCGTTGACCACTGAAGAAGGAGACGAAGCGGAAGCAGGTTCTGCTGCTGAAGCAGAGGATATGGCGCAGGAACGAAAGTGGAACCCGAAGCGGAGTGAAACGGAGCTCCGACTGACAAGTTTACTAGTAGCAATATTAGGGTTTACGAATCCGAAAGATGGAATTTTGAGGAACGCACTCTCCATAGTCGTCGACGCCATCATCTTTCTTCTTGGACCCAAGAAGACTAAGCAAAACCACTCGAATCGTATTTAGCGGCCTTAGATATAATAATATATATTCTTCCGTGGTATATAAATTTTTTTTTTCCTCCCAGTGTCCGTACCTTGCCTTAGAAATGGAAAGCGTACACTCGCGACTCGCGAGGAAATAGATTACGTACCGAATCATGTTGAGAATGTGTGTGTACTCCCATTGGTCAATTTTGTCATCAAATATGAAAAACACGAAATTTGCAGCCTCCTTATTAACCTGCCCAATTTGTGTGCCCTTCCTAGCAGTTTCCTACAACACATATTATATAGTTGATTGTTTTCCGTAGATCACTGAATTGTGTTTAATTCATAGATTGGAGCTCGTTTTTACGAAATCGTACTTAAAAACGTGTTCGTTAAACTGAAAATTTGATTAATTTGTAATGCTCATTGAACCAAATTATTCGTTTAATTGTAATGTTTATTGAACCAAATTCAAATCGAGATTGAGAATTATTCAAAATGTTTTGAAATTATTCAATCTTGAATTTGTTGAACTAATTTTGAGCAACAGTGAGTCAAACTAGCTTTGTTTGAATTGCTGTTTTTCGTCAAAAAATTACGTTATTTTCTGTGATCACATTTCCCTATTACCTTTTTCCCTCACATACATCAAATCGCTACAGTATTTTTTCTATGAAAAATCATGAAAAATGCAATCCAACCACATTAGCATCCTTACTTTTGATTCTTCCACCATCCTATGCTGTCTTATTAATTATTATTATTATTATTATTGTTATTTTGTTTTGGAGGCTCTTTTAAAGTGCGTTAAAAGAATAAGGGCATTATGTGCAATTGAAAGACTTGTGGGCATATTTAGAAAATTTACTAGAAAAGAAGGAGTAAATGCAAATTCATCTAATTCAACCCTAGTGTAGTAATTAGCGTCCTCTGCTGACTCTTTTTGGGCACAAGCCCAAAGGCAGCGCTTTTCTACGCTGTTCGATACTTCTGTATATGGCACAAAAAGTTACTCCTACCGGTGAGATTTTCTCTATGAATTTTATTCTTCGGTCGTTCTTAATATATTAACTGTAACGTGATGTTTGAGGTCTTTTTTTCTTGATTTTTCTTGGTTTTCTTCTTTCATTTTTCTAGTTCACCGGCCTGTGTTGTTTGTGTGCAAATGCAAACTGTCTCTTTTAGATATTTGTTTTCATTTTTGAAGCAAGAAGCTAATCTTGTTAATGCTTTTGGATGTGTGTGAGACTTTCTCTCCATTCTTTTGTGGGGTGGGCGGTTTTTCAGCCATTGCTCTTTTCCCTGCCGGAGCATTTTTGTCGGGATAAAGAGTGTTTGTCACTTCAAATGGCTGCAAGTTTACATTCGATTTATCGGGTTCTGTTCTATCTCCTGAATTTTGAGTTGAATTTGAAGTATTAGAGTTTGTTGACTTGAACATGATGAGTTCAGTGATTTCTGCAGCTGCTATGTTAACTAGTTATCATGCGATACTTAGTGCCGTGTAGATATTAAAGGTATGAGAAAGAACATGAGTTTCTGTTACGGCAATTGAAATCTTGTCTCAAGTTGCATAATTTCTGTATGGCTAATGGAGGTGAGAAAATGCTTATTTCAAAGGGGAATTTTTCAAATTCGTTTCTCTTTGTGGTAAACAACAATCAACACTCTTTGTCCATGAGAGACCATAATGAAGAGTGTATTCTTTTACGTCTAGGACATCTTCTCTTTTGTTTTCTATCTGGTTGTTTAAGTTATTTGCTTGTGTTCATGTTTTCCTCCGCATTTTTCTCTCACTGTGTTTCATATTGCCTGTTAATTTTGAGTCCTTCATCTTGTTGTGAAACATGTGATGCTTTTACATTGCGGTCCTGGCATTTTTCTTAGCTAATTGTGGCAAAATTCCAGGCCAATGGGGTTGTGATGCCTCAACTTTTCTGATAATCAGCCATCCAGTTTAGTTCTCGCCACTTTACAATTTGAAAAACTCTTGTACACTTCAAGACGCGTCTGTACACTGTGAACAATTATTGCATATTTTTCTAGTGTTTCTTTGCATTACATATGAGCTTTTGTAAATTTGGCCCAAACTTCCCTCTATTTAGAAACCATGAATTGTATGACTTAGATTTTTAAACTGGTACGCAGGTAAGTTGCAGAGTTCTCATTGCATGTGCTCTTCCTTCAGATTCTTTTTAAGCATCTTCCAAATATTTACATTGGAATTTATAGAATCTTGAAACTGGTTGGAACTCAAACTTTTGAATTAATTTTTTTTGCTTTCAGAAGCTGTGGAATTTCTGCTACTCTAATGTCCATTCCTGTTCTTTTGGTTTCTAATCGGCTGGAAAGGTCAAAGAAAGCCTAGAATCTGCTTGTTGTATTGATCTAAGTTGGAGGAAAGGCAACATATTCTGAGCTACTTCTCGTTGTTTGAATTAGTGCATATCTCGGCTCATAAGAAAAGGGTTGTGCTTGCCTGTTTTGGCCTGAAGAAAGGTTTCTGATTGTCAAGTTAATGGCATATATCTCATCATTGACTTTCTTTTTAGCATCAGTCTAGTGGAAAGAAATGGCTAACTCGCTAGTACCACAAAAATCTATGGTTGAGTTTCCCAATCTGCAAGGGTCGCATTCAGTAATAAGCCAAAAAGACATCATCTCTGGCACAAACCATTGTTTTCCAATCAGAAATATTAGCTATTCGGTCAAGTGTACTTGCAAGACTCGATCACATCTGCAGTGGGTCAGATTTGTTGGTTCAAGAAGAAGTGCTTCTGATATTATATGTAGAAGCCAGCTGCTAGGGGTTTGTGTAGATAGGGTTGCTACTAGCAACCAAAGTAATGAGAAAATGGACAATCATGAGATGAGCTCCTCAAAGAAGTATCTCAAATCTTTGAAGGTTTCTTTTGATGGACCTCTTATAGAGAATGATGAGAAATCTAACAATGAAATCCTTCAAAACCTTTGTGGCTATGGGAGATTGCTTGATGCATCAAAATTAGTTGAACTGATGGCGCGTCGGAACCAAATTCCAAATTTCTCTTCCTGTATAAACTTGATCAGGGGTCTTGTCAATCTTGATCGCCTAGATAAAGCTGTCAAGGTCCTGGAACTCATGGTGATGTCAGGTGGGATTCCAGATATTATTACATATAACATGTTAATTGGTGGTATGTGTAGGAAGGGACAATTAAAATCTGCTCTTGATGTCTTGGCAGACATGAGCATGAGTGGTTGCTGTCCAGATGTTATTACTTACAATACATTAGTACGTGCCATGTTTGATTGTGGTAGGTTTGATCAGGCCATTCAGTTTTGGAAGGAACAACTCAGAAGGGGATGTCCTCCTTATCTCATCACTTATACGGTCCTTATTGAGCAAGTCTGCAAGTACTGTGGGGTTGTAAGAGCAATAGAAGTAATGGAAGATTTAGCTGTCGAGGGATGTTACCCGGACCTTGTTACCTACAATTCTATGATAAGTTTTACTTGTAAACAAGGAAACTTTGGTGATGCAGCTTTAGTGATTTATAATCTTTTATCACGTGGAATGGAGCCCAATGCTGTAACATACAATACTCTTCTCCATTCTCTTTGCTCCAATGGGCGTTGGGTTGAAGTTGATGAAATCCTCATGCTCATGAATGATACATCACACCCTCCTACTTTAATCACTTACAATATCCTGATTAATGGTTTGTGCAAGCATGGGCTTCTCGATCATGCTATAGACTTTTTGGATCAGATGGTTTCCAAGGACTGTTCTCCAGATATAATCACATATAACACCCTTATACGTGCTCTTTTCAGAGAGGAAATGTTAGATGAAGCTATCCAAGTTTTATATTGCTTAGTCCAAACCACAACTTCTCCTAGTTTGATTACTTTCAATATCATGATTGATGGGTTGGCAAAGAAAGGTTTGATGGAAAAAGCCATGGAACTGTATGGTCATATGATAGAGCAGGGAATTGTTCCTGATGACATTACATATCGATGTCTGATTTGGGGTTTCTGTAGGGCAGATCTACTTGAAGAGGCTGTGGAACTATTAAAGGTTATGGGAAATATCAAACACAGGATCAGAGATAATTGTTACAGATTTATTATACACAGACTATGTAAGAAAAAGAAAGTTGACACAGCTATACAAGTTCTTGAAATGATGATGTCAAATAAACGCAAGCATCATGCTACTCTTTATTCCAGCATTATTGAAGGAGTAGCTGCCACTGGTCTAATTGAAGAAGCTGAAATGTTGAGGCAGAAATTGCGGGAAAGGAAGGTCCTCAGGGTATAGAACTCTGATTCGCTAAAGCAAGCATATGCCTGATTGGGTTCATCACTGGCATGTTGTATCTCAGAGTCACAGTATTCACATCAAGTTGTCGAGGAATTTACTCCAAAAGGGTTTTGTTATTCTTACAAACAATTAACGGTGAGCATCTGATCCTTGATATGCCTTGTATGCTGTTTACTATAAACTGCTGTTGCTTTTAATTGAGTTTGTGAGTATTTTCAAAATTTTCAATGCAAAGGAAATCTGTGATTTTGTTTGTTACAATCAGGAGATACTGTCCCAACAACTCTTGGTATTTTTCTGTAACATTGTTTTTGTATTTATCCTGATTCTGGTTTCCTAAATTTGATTTTTCATTCTTTCATTTGTTTTTCTTCACTTTGTTGCTCCTGTCATTCCTCTCTGAATACTTAAGCTGCAAGATGTTGAATTTTAATGACTTGAAAATCCTTCCCCTGCTTATGCTTTTTTATGGTTTTTATGCTAGGGAGGTTTATGAAGGACCATAAGGCCTTCAAAATGCAATACGTGGATACAACATGAGATGAGGGTTAAAGATTTTCCATATTTTGGTTGCGCTTCTTGTGGAACTGATTTCTATAAGGGCCTTGGGAATCAAAATTTTGCTGATCTTGCCATGCTTAAACTTTTTAGAATTAGAGCTGTGTCCATTTCCTTTATGGATTGTAATTCTCTGTATCTAACATATATTGCCTTTAATCTTCTGTTCAATGCAAGTCTTTTTACTGAATTCCTGAACATAGTGCTCGCGTGGATGTTGGTTTAACCATTTCTATAAATGAGACATTTAAGTTTTGTTGATCAAGCCAATGTTGCATGCATGTCAGCCACAGGCTGCTTGGAATCTCGTTGTTTTAGTACCCGCTCATTTAACATAATCCTTGAGAGTTGATCTAGAAACCAAATTCACTCCAAAGCTATTTAATGATAGAACTTCAACATGGGACAGGAGTTTGAAGGATGGCATCATGGTGAAAATCCTTGGCGGAATGTATGTTACTACAAGACTAGATAGTTTAATAACTAAGAGCTTTACAATGTAAAGTACCAACGGTTTCTTTGCCTAGCTAACACATCACGGAACTGTATGACTGGCGAGCATTGCTGTGATTGCCTAATTGACTTCGCATTGTGAGCTAACTAAGCCCATGGCCAAAGCAAGATGTCAGTGTGGCTAGGAGTTGGGGAATAAGCTGTTACTAAAATGCCACCTCATTGCCTAAAGCTGATCCAAAATTTCAGCTAGAATAATTGTAGTTGCCTCATTTGACCCAGCAATATTTAGAGTTTCTTACAATTTTGGCTTCAGAACCAATTATCAGCTTACGTGTACCAGCTACACAGATAGGAGAGATACGGCTCCGTTTGAATTAGCTGTTTTTGGATGGTGTTTTTGAAAAATTTTACTATAGCAGTGGATATGAAAAACTTTTATTATAAATATTTTTTGAAATATTTAATAGATCGTATGAATGAGATGTTTTTTGAGTTATTTTTATTTGTGTAACTTGTTTTTGGTGTTTTGATTTAATGATTTGACTGGCCAGATTCCTTGACTAGAAAGTTTCCTTGGTTTATTCTATGTAAACATGTTTTTTTGCAGTGTCATTTTTGCCTTGTTTTGTAAAGTGGATGCAGCAAATGACGACTTTTTCCTCAAGCAAAGATCGAGCACAGAATAAATAAATGAAGATTGCATGGATTGGCGGAGTAAAACATATATCAAAATGATATTTGAGCATGCTGAAGAAGAAGACAGCCAAGGGTGGAGCAGTGGTACGTGCTGGATGATGCATTACTTCTAGGATGTAAAATGATTGGAAGCTTGTAAAGTGGTACAACTGCATTGAACTAAACGGTTCAAGATAACAAGAATAGGTACATATTTGCCTAATCTTCAATTAGTGAATATAAGAATTAATTGGTGCATCCTAAATCACTCAGTTCGATTGGATCATGCTAATTTTTGTGCTTAACTGGTACAGAAAATTGGAAACAAACATTGAACCAAATGGAATTTTTTAAAAGAAAAAGAGCAAAGTGAAAGAACCAGATGGTTGATTGCACAAGCATTGATTGGATCTTTGAGAGTACTGCAGATAAGGGTGCTTCTGCCTTCTGGTGCAATCACATTGTGCAACACTACAACGCAAATATGATCGGCAGCCAGCATAAACATGTTTTCACAGACTCTATATGTTCAGAGGTTGCCTCAAACACGAAGTTAAAATAAGTTGGCCTGAGCTGCATTTTCGGGTGAAACTGACTGTAATCTTCTATCACTTTTCTTAAGCGCCATCTACAGAATGTAACACAGGAAGATTTCCTTGGGCGGGTGCCTAGAAACAATGGTGTTGTCAGTTCCTTCGTGGAAAAGTAATTGGACAGACATCTCGCACTTAAAAATGGTGTTAACAATTATTGCCTCGTGACAGAGAGGAAGCATACAAGAAACTAGATTTTCTCGCTTGATGCAATACAAGATTTTTATGGACACATTCCAAAGACGAAATCCAGCGACCAACAGATCACACCAACCTACTTCTTTGCGAGAGATAGATCTTCATCAAGCTTAGGAAAGATTCTATTCAAACGTTTGAACGCTTCTTTTGTGATAGCGTTCTTTTTCAGAAGAGAGTTTGCTGTCTCCATAGCCACAGCTTGCCACCCTGCAAAGCCAATTCCTTCAATTAGTAGAATGTATGTGGTTTCATTTGGGCGGCAGCCCTTTTGAATCATTTGCTCTAGCACTTCAATTGCATCATCTATCCTGTGAGCTTTGCATAATCCAAGAAGTACAATATTGTAAGTAATTACTGTTGGTGGGAAGCCACTGCTTTCCATATCTGTTAACAAGCAGATAGCTTCATCCACCATTCCATCTCTGCAGAAACATGATATAAGTGAATTGAATGTAATTTCATCAGGGTCAGTTCCTTTGTCAATCATCTCAGAAAGCAATCTCAAGGCCTTAGCTCTATCTCCTATGTTCCATAATGCACTCAATAGGGTGTTGTAAGTGCTCACATCGGGAGGACAACCCATTTGTGGAAGATCTCCAAATAGTTCCAAGGCCTGATTAGCATTTCCATTCTTGCACATGGCAGATAGTATAGTGTTGTAGTTCACTATATCAGGTAGGCAACCATTGCAAATCATATAATCCATGAATTCAAGTGCCAAATCCGTCCTTCCTTCTCTGCAGAATGCAGAAATCAACGGATCATACGTGTACGTGTCAGGATTTAGACCCTTGTCTTTCATGACCCTCAGCAAGTTAAGTGACTCGTCCAATTTTCCATCTCGGCACAGGCAACTAATCAGGATGCTGTAGGTAACCACATTGGGTTCGCAATCTCTTGAAAACATCTCAGCCACCAGCTTCTCCCCATCCTTCCATTTCCCTTGATTCAATAATGCCCTCAACAAAACGTTGTACGAGATTACATCTGGTTTGCAGCCCTTTGCTGGCAAGCTCCTTACAAAATGAAATGCTTGATCAATCAGCCCTCCTCTACACATTCCCCTGATGATCGCATTATAAGTATACATGTCAGGTTGAAGTCCTTTGCGCAACATCTCATCCAAAAGCTTCATCGCTTCATGAATGCCGCCTTCAAGGGCAGTTGCTTCTATTAATATTGTGTATGTGACCACCGTAGGCTTACAATTATCTTGTAGTAACTGATCAAAAACTTTAAGAGCTAGTCCTAGCTTCCCTCTATTGCACAGGCTCCCTATCATTATATTGTAAGTAACCACATCAGCTGAAAAGCCCCTAACCCTCATCCTACTTAATACTTCATTTGCTGAATTAGTCTTGTTCACTTTACAAAAGCCACTAATGACAGCATTATAAACAAACACATCTGGTTCACCATACTGCTCCAGAATATGCATGACCCTTACTGCTTTTTCCGCATTCTTCAAACTAAAAAGTCCTTTAATGAGCTTCGTACAAAGAATGACATCTGGTTTCAGACCCCTATTCACCATGCATTCAAGAAAATACAGAGCTTCGTTGTATTTGGCTGCTTTGCAGGATCTGCTGAGCAGTTTTAAAAAGTTGGGCTCAGTAGAATCATGAGGCTGCAATTGTGTTGATCTAGCTTCTGTAGAAACCATAACTTTTTGTGGACTTCTAGACTTGCTCTCATTAGGTATGTGGCCTCTGCACCTCACCACAAATATGTTGTGACAATTTGAAGTGAGTTTTGCTTGTGTAACATAGGGAAATAACTGAGGGAGCAATTCGGAAGAAAAAGTTGTGGCCATCGGGTTATTGAGATTTGTCATGTCCTAATGCTGATAAACCATCATCTAGAGATGCATAGACATGCCGAGAACTGAAAAGGTACCTGTATTTTCCGTAAAGCTGAATGAAGGCTTCAGAACCTGGAAGTTGACAGGTGGTCTTGTGGAGTTCTGTTGTCCGTTCCCTGGAAATCCAGTTTTGGATTCCCAGTGGATATCATACCAGCCATCTCAACTATTTTAGATAAGGCAATAGACGGTTCGAAAATGTGGTAATGGGTCGGGTCGCAAGTACCTTTTACACATTTGAGGTTCTCTATTTTAAAATTAAAATAAGAAAACGGATTTTCGACCAAATTATTGGAATCCGTTTTGCAATATAACATGCATCACTCCATCATACTTGGTAGAGCAGATAATTCTTGCCGTGATTCATTTGGATTAACATTTTTGGCAGAGCTTATGGACGTGGCACTGTATTGAAAATCATTTACATCAGAAAAAGAAAGGGGATAAAAAAGCTAGCGAATGCGTTAAAAGTTTACTTTTATTTTTTGTTTTGCAGGAGACATTCCCTCTTGTTGATGAAGTGCAACATTATAAGCAGAGGGTTTAACCACAGCCCAAACAAATGCAGACAGATTTGAGGCAGAAAAAATAAACTTAGACGAAGGCATGCCAAGAGTTGTCAAGGCCAAAATACCGGCCGACCATTTCGCAACGGCGGATGGATTAAGTTCCAATGATACATAACAATAAAGGGAAATGTACTTGCGTGCTATCTTTACCAATCTGGGTTATATGAATTGGTAGATATTGTTTCTGTAAGTTCTATACATGGATCGCAGCTAAGAATGATCAACCTTGCAAGTCCTTGCGCCCAAAAGCAGGTACTATGCTAGCCTGCCTGGAGCAATTTGCAGCGTTTCGAGTTTGCGAATGAGGAGGCTTCTTGTTTGTGTATGCAATAGAGGGTAGACGAAGCAGAAATTGATATACAGAGATTAAAATTACAATCTAATGATAACAAGAATACACGCCGCAGATGACTTGAAGAAACTCAAAAGGCTGTATGAAAGCCACTAAACAGGCCAAAGAAACTGGTGTCTACAAAGATCAGATTGCATCCAGCAAAATGATGGACATCATGTTTTCAGCAGCACCCATTTTGCAACCCGAAGAAAGAGTACAACATACGGTCAAAGAAGAGCAAGTTCAAGACTGATTTGGCATATGATCCAAAAACAACCAACCACCTAAAATATACCCAAATTTACCCTTTTAAAACTCCAAAGCTGTTATTAGATGCTTTCGCTGAAAGTATTCCACAGGAAGGACTTCTCTGGGCAGACATTGTTTACCAGTGTCTTCAATCCATTTGCTTCCAGCTTCTTTCGAAGCTCTACTTGCAAAGAGCCACCAACTTGCTGAGCACATACAAAAGTCCCCGATGAAAGGTGAGAATCTCACAGGATAGATTAGGATGTGAAATCTGAATATTCATAACATAAAGGTTTACGCACCCTTGTAATCCACATGATATAAGTAGCAGAAAAGGTTGCTTGTGCTTGATAGTCCTCAAAGTCATTATCAGGAATACTTGAGCAGTAATGACACAATTGTAGCTCATTACTCATAAATACTTCGACATTCATTATATTTTTGGGACAGGAACCAAAAGAATTGCTGTGAACTTGAGTTGTAAAATGCTTAATCCAAGTCAATGATAGAAAGCGGCGATAGAGCCATAAAGCCTGCAAATCAAAAGTAACAAAATAATCATCAGTTGCTTTAAAATGCTGTGAATTATAAGGACAACAAGTATTCATTCAAGTCGTATATTGGATCCAAGTGATTGACAAGAAATCTGTAATCCAGGCATGAAGTCATTTATATGGTTGAACTGTCTGAATGCAGAAGATATTAATCATGAGATGTCAAGAAATGGAAGACCCACGATCAGATCCAGCCTTCTGTCAAAAGTAAGAACCATAAACGATAAATTAGACCTAGACAGAATCCTGCACTTGGAACAAGAATAAGGCCAGGTCAAGCTGCTGAAATTGACTTCAATGCCTCCATCCAGTTTTCTGAAGTGCCCCATCAAAGACAGAGATATATGCCCACATCTAACCATAAAGTTTTTGATGTACTTTCCCTCCTGATCCAGGACCATTAGCCAAATAAATTCAAGTCTAGGATTTAGAATCCATTACAGCCAGGAAATTTCTGATGGACCAACAAAGCTAAAGCTTTAAGTGTGGAAGGTAATCCAAACTTTCTAATATCTTTCTGGAAGCCATTTTCCAAATCAATAGTGAAGTAAGTGCAGCATAGTGGAGATCCTGGTGTATCTTAGTCAGGCCATACCTCTCTTCCCACGTAGCACTTTATCAATGTAGCAACCCAATCAAGTTCCTTCTGTAACAAAGCATTTGTCACAAACAAAACTTATAAGTTGATGAAGCATGAGGAATTTTCATAAAAACATGACAATCAGCTGCATAAAGTACATCATTAGGCCAAATTAGGTTTTTACATGAATGACAACTGAACTATAGTTTATTTCTTTGATCCATATTTGTTTTAGAATTCCAGTATCTGTACAGTCGTTAAGGTTAAAGCAATGCTCAAAGAACTTTTTCCTAAGAAATTTTTGGACATCTTTGGTGCAGGCTATAGTGATAATAGTATTTGCCTGCGCAATAAACAAACTTTCCAAAGATTCCTTCATGCCCAATATCTGCATATCAGATTCAACAATCATATAATTATAAACAACAGCCTGAGCGTCAGGCTTTTCCATGAAAGATACAAGTGAGAGAATATTTAAATGCTAATTGCAATGCTTGAATGACAGTGCAACTTTCACGTTAACTGTTTTAACCACCGCTTACCAAAGTATGAATTAATTTTACAACTTCCTTAGACAATTCTTTAGGTCCTCAGGGTTGTCTATCAAAGTATCAGTATTATAACCAAAAATTCAAAGGGTCCATTGGGACTTAACATCACAATCCTATCGTCTAGAACTGCAATTCCCGTGCATGAGCATATATACTTCCTGTGAGAATTTTCAGATAACAGATTCTCCTCACTGGGAGGGAATCAACAGTCAAGTTTGTCTTTTTTGCTTTATGCTAGATAAGACACAGCTGCTTCTGATTTTGGCAAATTCAGACACGTTCTCAGTACACAAGGCTATCTTTCAATCACATTTCAATAAGCCTTATAGCCACAGATGCTTAAGCAATTATTACCCTATCACTCATAATCTAGGCTTCTGTCCATTTAGCAATGATCCTGGACCAACTAATTGCAGAATTACCAGTTGCTTGGAGCCTTCAGGACCTTCTCAGCAGGTTAACAGTATCACTAACAATCCTCCCATTTGATTTCTCAAGTTAATAGCAGGTCTAGCTAAGGAATTGAGATCCAAGATTCTAGAGTCTGCTTGTGGACATCCTTTGAAGATCAGACCCAAGTAAAGATGTAGACATTGTAAGAAACTAAACATAACAAAATTAGAAGAAAAAGGAAAACCATGCACGCCAATTCTGAAAATATGATAATATGATTCTAATTAAGTATATCCTTCGTTTCCTATAGATGCAACACCTAACAGCGAGTATGAGAGGATTTGAATACTCTGGAAGGATCAGCAATATGCAGGACCATACCTTCCACAATTCATGAAAATTCGTGGCTGAAGGTGCAGCAGAATTTTGGTCATCATAACCCTCTAAGATCTTGAGCAATAACCGCTGCCAATTTTACCAAAACTTCAAAAGCATGCTTTGTTTATGAGGTATTCCAAAATAATTAAAAACAATCAAGTTATGCATATAAAAGCAAGTGGCTAAGCAAAACTAGAACTGATAAATCTAAAATTTCTGGGTTCAACTGTGCTGATTGTGCAAGTACCAAGTCCTATTTTAGAGAGGCCGACAACATAATTCTGAACTATAAGGAGAGGCATACTAACAGCATCAATCACTTAACAAAAAATCACAGGCACAATTGGTAGTTCTGAATAATAGATACAAAGATAACCTACTGTACGGTAGTGAAAGCACGAGTTATCAGCAACATGAAGGCCAGCCCAATCTCGGGACTTGTTCAATTCATGTAGTACCTGCATCCAGTTCCCACAAACTTGGTTAAAAATCCAATTGCAAAGCTTATATATGATGCACCTCTTTTCTTAAGTCCAAAACCAGGAATAGAGTTTGGCTGTGATTGTACATGATAGTGTTAACTTCAGCCTACTGCCACCCAGTTAGCAGAGTGCAATTATGCAGATGAAAAAATATAGCAACAAATAGGTTCCTCTTAATTTTTTACTAACCTGCTCTCCAGACATGTAAGAAACCAACCAGCAGCGGTGATTCCATGCACGATAATTCATTTTTGACCTCTGCAGAAAAGTTAGAACCAAATTAAGTCCGTGAAAATTCATTATGGATATCAATTTGACTAATATAAACAAGCTTGTCAATCTTTGTAGTATGTAAAACTAATGCAAGCATGAGGAACGAGTTCGTATGTAAAACTCCTGCAGAAAAGTTAACCAAATTAAGTCCTTGAATCCATTATGGATATCCAGTTTGACTAATATAAACAAGCCTGTCAATCCTTGTCATATGTGAAACTGTTGCATGCATGAGGAATGAGTTCAACTCAAGAATAGAAACGGTGGAAAGTTATGGGATACAAGTTAACCAAATTAAGTCTCAAGCATGAGGAACAAGTTCATATGTAAAACTCCAGCAGAGAAGTTAAACAAGTCCTTGATTTCATTATGGATATCCAGTTTGACTAACATAAACAAGCCTGTCAATCTTTGTCATTTGTAAAACTATTGCATGCATGAGGAACCAGTTCAACCTCAAGGATAGAAAGATGGAAAGTTATGGGAGAGAAGTAGCAACTCGTCAGTGCTTTTAAGTGAGACAAGTTGAGGTCTGCATACCAAAATTATTATCTGCCTCATCATTATCAAATATATAATCCGAAACAAGAAGTCACTCGCTAATGTTTCTTGGCTACTAGCCCTTCTCTAAAAAGAGAGAACCATAAAAAAAAAAGAAACTCTTTTGCTGGGACAGCATGCCAATATCTAATCCGAGAGAAGAAAATTAGAAAGCTAAAAAAGGAATATCATGTCTCAAGTAGGCTTTTGAAAAACCAATGGATCACCAAAAATCTTCATATAAGCAATCTCTATTCAGTTAAATAGGAGAAAATGCATAATCATCAAGTATGATACTTCTAAAAGCTAATATCAAAGATGACATTAGCCTCCTTTGCTCCATTCCCTGACAAATTTTGCCGAACACAGAACTCAAATTTGAAGGCACTGCGATGTGATAGTATGGAACTCAAGTGCTCCACGCACACTAAGTATGCAGGAGAAAAGTAAAGGATTAATCAAGAAAATGACTAAGTACAAACATGGCAACCAACATGACATCTAAATTTCCATTTGACATTCAATAAAACTTGAAATTGACTGATAAGATCATATCTTCTATATCATGCAATTCATGATACAAAAATTGACCTCAGCTAATTTCTCAACAAACTCAGATTCTCTTTCAATAATCTCTTGCAGATTTGGACACTTTCCAGCAATCATCTTGATCACCCACCTCCTATCAGTAATTGTCAGTAATAAGCATCCAATGCACCAAATCAATACAAGTGCAAAGTGATTGACAAGTATAATGCAACGCTACATGCAAATGCATGAATGAAAAGAAACAGAAAATACACGTATGAAAAATATCTTCAGAAAAAGTTGTTATTCCTTATCATAAAAACAGATGTTAAACATGTACGTGCACAATGTTTCGCACACAAGACAGCAGAAATTTACCGATGGTTCCACGCACGTTCACTTTTTGGTGCATAAGAAAGAACCAAACTTGACAAATTAAGTTCATCCATATAAGTATGAAGTAGCTCCAGCTTGGAAACAACTAATTTCCTGCAAGTTGAAAGTTTACCAGCTAAGAAATGTCTACCACACGCCAATTCATATTTTTCAGAATTTTCTAATTAGCCGAGTAAAACATGTAGCAAACATTTTCAGCTTTTGTTTGGCATCATTACCAGCCAATACTTTCAAAGTTGAGTGTGTGCCCTTGTACATCTATGTACATACCAGTATATCTTTATGTATACACACATTTGAGAGCAATAAACCTGCAATAGCATTAGCCAGCATTTTTCTATAATAGAACAATGAAAAGCTAAAGATTAGCAGTGAGAGGTTTATGTTAAATCAAACTACAGAAGGATCTGCAATTATGAATAAACTATTTTCCAATAAGTTTTACTCTCAATGCCAGCAGAAAAACGAGTTCAATGCTCACGAAGCTTTCTTGCTTAGATTTATTATGACATGCTTATATGGATAGATAATGTGTGGAAATATAGGACCAAGATTTTGGTTCCAGTAGTAGCAACCATATGAGGTCTTTATAAGTATGTTTGGCCGGTAGTACACAACATTGTTGAAATAAAGGAACAAAGGATTTTTGTAAACCAATGAACAATCAAGGGTTTTCTTCGTTTTTCTAGTTTATTAGTTTCTCTATTTGTGTTCAAAGGCGCTATCCACCTGTTTTCCTCTGTTCCTTCTCTGCTAGAACTGCAGATCTAGTAAATGCTAATTAATAATCGGCGGCATACATGCCGCAAACTAAAATCCATGTGCCTTTACAATGCTTTAAGAACAATATTTGTTGCACTGTCGATAGAGATAGACCAAATCTCAGGATAGAGCAGCTAATGCCACATGCACTCTGTATCAGAAGGAAAAGAAAACTTGTGGGAGTACCTAATTACTAATATAGCCTGGACTGAGTATTGCCACTTGATCTTGCTAAAATATTTTATGTTCATCCATATTGATCTTCTTTACATATCAATGCAGGAAAGTGAGCACCATACAGAGGATACGCCCTCCTTCTTGTGTGTACAGATTTTCTTTCAACAACAAAGATTGATTAGTTACCCAAAAAATTACTTTATACACATATTAAAAATAGATGGGTTAATAGAAAAACGGATACATACACACATTTACACATTCATAGATATGACTGCAGAGAATGATAAATGATGAGGATATAAGGACCTGCAATTCCAAGCAGTGCCGAAATCGCAGCTTAACAACAGAAGAGCCCGGCTGTGCTTCATCACATCAGTCTCCAGAATGCTTATGGAAGATGAAGTAAATGTTGATGCATTGACATCTTTTGAATCATCTCTTTCTCTCTGCAAGTCAGTTAAAGTCTGATATTGTCTTATTGCTTCCATGAATGCATGTTTAGCTGCTTTGTATAACGGAAGAAGAGCAGTGGTAGAGATTCCCAACTTATGCTCTCTGCTCCAAAAAACTAAATCAAAAGTATTAGCTTCTGTTTGTGCAGATCCCATGAGCCTGTCCCTTGAAGTACTACCGGCCTCTTTACGAAGTTCAGCAAGCTGTGATGGATGAATAAACCCTACTTCATCCCTTGATTTAGAAGGAAGCATAATTACAGGATGTCGGTTAATCAACAATAAATTCCAAACATATTGAAAATAAACATAAATCTGCTGAAGAAGACATACTAACAATCATAACACATCAAGCAAAGAAATTAAAAAGTATAAGAAAATCCTAAAGTAGTAGTCAAAAGGTCCAGAATTTTAAAATTATAAAGGGCCTCCTTGAAAAAATCGTTCCAGCTTGGTTTAAAAAAAAATCCAGCTAAGCAAGATTTATTCATCATTCTACTAAAAGTTGTTCCTGCTTTATTGAGTTGAATGAAAGGTGCCTTCTTTCGCCAAGTTAAATTCGTGCACTTCTTGTCGATAGAACCTCTAAATTGCACTCTGTCAAAACCATGTGTAACCAGCAAAGATTGCACCTTTATCGTTGGAAACATGAAGATGCAAACGCCTCTCGTAAAAAGACAAAAACGACTTGTGTTATCTCCCTCTTTTTGTCGCTAATTCCTCTATAATCAGAAGAACTGTTAATGCCTTTAATAAATAGGTTGGATCAATTTGAGACTGTTTCAATTGGAGGGAACACCTTTTTTTTTTTTTTTTTGAGAAGGGAGGGGGGGGGGAGCTTGAACTTCAACAAATTAATGACTAAACTGCCTCAGATAGCTTCACCTCGCTAGCACAATCGTCACAGATAAAGATGTAGAACTCTTTTGACCTTTGACTAGATCATGAGCTCGAGTTAGCATCATCCATTGTCACAAGGAACAGATAAATTGCATACAAGCAGCAATCAGCATCGAAAATCCCGAATTGGATTAGAACTACCAAAAAATATGAAATCCAATACTTAATTAAGATCAATAGCATTTTCCCGGGTAAGTACTATTAAAACTCAGATAATCGCAGCATTTCCATGACCATAATTAAAAGAAATTGCAATCAATAAGAGCTTTCACACTTTTGATCGTTTCTTGAAACTACAATTCAAAGAAATTAATGCAATGCAAGTGCATATGATACATAAAATAAGCAATCAAAACACGGGAAGCAATTGGAGGCTTACATCAAGGGGTCTGAATCCAACAAACGCTCCAGTTCCTTCAATAAATCAGACGACTTGTCAGCTCCGGTCATCTTCCCGCTTACAAGATACGCTGGAGAGAGATAGAGATAATTTCGTTTTGTTGCCGTAAAAAGAAAAAGTCGGGGAGTTCCATACTAAGAGTAGGTGCGTTTACGTGATGTTTGGTCATATTACAAAATAGTCCCACAGGTTTAGACAACTTACGAATTGTGCGAGCAATTTGTTGGTACTACGAATTTTGGAGCTATGAATATAAGTTTGTCTTCTCTGTTTAGGCACATGCCCTTGCTTTTTCTGTGAAGCACGATGCTCAATATGACTGGGCTTTATTCCAAGATAACTGCAGGATACTGGAACAATAATAATATTTATACAATTCTGCATCATAAGATTTTTCCCTATACATACATGCATATACATACGTACGTATGTACATACATACATATATATATATATGTGTATATGTGTGTAAATTGCCTCTCTATATACATTAGTTCTATGAATTTAATCTCCTATAACCTTTTGCGTGATCTTTTAAGTTCTACAAATTTTATTTTTCTCAAGCAGAAAGCTTTGAACGTGTCTTCTAATATTTGAAATTTCATTGATAAATTTGCTTATAATAATGGCTGATGCTTTATATGGACAGAATATCATATTGGATTAGGTCACTTAACGAAAATTGAGATAGCGTGACAGCCTTATGCATTATGTTCATAAATTAACAAATCAATAAAAATCACTTATATATTATTCCATTTTTTGGATATTCAACATTCTTTTACCTTATTTTATTTTGTATAGATGTGTAGTTTATTTATTGTATAATTTTCTTGAAAACAGGACAAAATAGATAAATGGAACAAGTCGTACATGCAAACAAAAGATGCCTATTGATGAAATGTTAGATATATATATTCATATATTTCCATCTTCTTTGTGTTATGTCTAGGGTTGCAAATGAATCGAGCCGCTCGTGAGCGGCTCGAGTCAAACTCGAGCTCGAACTCAAACTAAGAATATTAAGTTCGTTAGCTCGCGAGCTGACTCGCGAGTTTGAGTATATATATATTATTTTTTTTATTTTTATTTAATAATAAAATTAATATTATTATATATATTTTTTTTTTTATTTTTATAGTAAAATTATGTATATATCCTTAATATTTTATTATTTATTCAAAAAAAATTATTTTATTTATTTTTTTAAAAATACAATTTTTATTTTTTATTTTTTTCCGAGCTCGAGCTCGAAAATTGCCGGCTCGTCGAGCTCGGTAAAATTTAGTCGAGACTCGGTTCGATTAGCTTAAAATTCGACTCAACTCGACTCGTTTGCAGCCCTAGTTATGCCTGTTTAACATGCACTTTAGCGCAGCAATGATAAATTTGATCTTAAAATTGAAAATCAACGGGCATGATTACTTTGAATAGTAATGAATGTGGATGGAAGCTACTATTATGAAGCTATGGCTAATGATTGACATTGTTTGGATAAGAGTTTATTTGAATGATTTATTTGAGATAATTACTGTAGCATTTTTTGTGATGTGATGTATGCGAGATAAAAAGATGGTTGGGAAGATAAAAAGGTGATTGAAATTTGTGAAGTAAATTTTTTTATTTGGCTAACAAAAACATCAACGTTTTACATAAATTTTGCCTGAAAAAATATCATGAAGAAATAGATTCTTAAACATTTACAAAGAGAAAAAATATAGAGAAAGATTACGTGCACAACACGATTAAGTGACGAGATTATAACCGTATAGTAAGATATTACATTTACCAAACAAAATATTTTATATATACTCAAAATGCATGTAATTAAAATGCCAACCTAATTTATAACGAAGTTCACCTAAACATATTATTGGATCTCTTCTGATTAAATTTAGCTTGAAAAAAATCAAAACCGAGACATAATTAATGACATAAATGCATTATCACGTTTCATGAAGTAAAATAATGCTAATAGTTACTAACTTACCTTTGGAAGAATATATAATGATTTAGGAAGAAAATCACTCCCTTCATTCAGTACCCAAAAAAAAAACACAACGAAGAGAGTAAAACGAAAATAATTTTAGCCTTGTTCGAATTATATCATCATTTTTCTTCAAAAAATTTTCACGTTTTCCAAACTCGCAAGCGCACTTTCCATATTGATGATGATGCAAATTTCAGATTGCTCGACGAAGCTAGTATGGTACTAGTGGATGCAAGCAACGTCCATCAGCTGAACTGAATGAGGAAAGAACAATTGAGCTCGTCACGCTTCTTCCACGTGCCGGGCCAAATAGATTTTAGAATCGTTTACGGCTTTGTGACCAATAGACCCATCTCCGGCCCTCCCTCCTTTCGCTTCTTTCTTTTCTTTCATCTGTGGGTTGTGGATTTTCATCTTTTCAGGTGTCTGCCCGCTGTCGTCACTACAATTAACCTTCATATATTTGTATGTATATATCAACCTATACATACAATATCCATACCATCACTCCATCTCACATAAACACTCACTTCCCAAAGCGTCGTTTCTTCCTCCGATCTCCTGAACGAATTCAATTCTAGGGTTTATCCCATAATCGCCAATAAATTACTTGTCGAAGATCTGTAAAATTATTAGATCTCAATTCATTTTCCGTTGTAATTCCAAATTAAACCGGGCCGTTTGATTCGTGTATATAGGGAAGGAAGAATTTTGTTTGTCTTTGTTTCCCTTTAAATTAGGGTTTGTTTGATGATTGAGAGAGCGTTGGAAGATCTGGAGATATCGGTGGATTTTGATTGGAGTGTTTTATAAATATGGAGTTAGATTTTAACAGTGACGTGGCGTGTCTCGATGCCGACTTGTTGCAGCTGCCAGAGGTGGCTCCTTTGGCTATCAAAGATAACCCTTGTGTCGCCGAGAAGCTTTTCGACCAATGGCTTTCGCTTCCTGACACCGGTTCATTGGTATATTTATATGCATGGCTCAACGATTTAGATTTTTATTGCCTGCCCTGTTGTGAAAGATTGAATTGCATAATTTGTAATCAGCTGCATTTATTTTTGTGTAAATACAAGTGTTGTTTTGGTCGCCTGGTTCATTCATTTAGGCTGCTAGTGAATTGGATGTGAATTTAGTGCGTTATGTATGGAGAGCATGAATTGTTAAAACTAGCATTGTAATTGGGGCCGTAAAGGAATGTGTGAGAATTGTAAAATGGAAGGAAAAGGTAATGATATCTGTTGATGCTGAGATTGACGGTGTCATGTGGATATAATTAGCAATCCTTTGGATAATTCAGGCCAGGATGGTATTCTTAGGTTTATTACAATTAATGAAGCTACTGGTCAGTATCGCGTAATGGCAACGGGCCAGAGGAAATGGCAGCATGTGTTAATGTGACCACGGTGAAGCTATTTGTCAGTATTGCTTAATGGCAATGGGCCAGAGGACATGGCAATATGTGTTAATTCGACAAAAATGAGCTTTAGATATGCAAAGAATTGAAGAATTTAATGTTTAACGGTGCTGAATTAGGTTAAAAAACGAGCTGGGTTGATTCCTAAGAAGTTTGTGTTGACTTAAGCATAGTTGTCGTTGAAGTCCAATCTTGACCGAAGTCCATGTTTCTTAATATTAATGTTTAATGAAGCTCTTCAAAAAATGCCTCTTAAATTAGTACTGTGTGGTGAAAGGAGCCCTACTTTATATTGAACAATGCATTATCAGGTGAAATATCGGTGCCTTTTGGGTGTCAACGGATGCTGCTGAGCCACAGTGTATTCTTTGACATGCATGAGTACAGGAATTCTTATCAGGAGACACACCTCATTGATTCTTGACTTGATAACCTTTTCCATAGTATAGAATTACTTCCATTTGGATACCATTTCAGCTCACAGTTGGCGTAAGGGCTACCCAGATCTTGTGTAATTTGTTGCTACTATTAGCTTTATGTCTGAATATATATATATTTGGTTACTTTTTCTGCAAAAAGTGTGAAATGTATGGTTTTTACTGTTATTTCATTATCAATTTTCTCTGTAGCTTTCTTAAAGCAGTGCAAGTTGCTTTTGTCAAAAATTTCTTATTCATTCTTCACCTTTTGAAGCAGAAGCTTTGTTTATTGATTTTGTTACCTGAAATTATTTATTCTTATATTTTGAGTGTTTAGCACATGCGTACGAAACAAAACATCTTTTTTTTGTAAGTGCAGGTCAAATCTTTAATTAATAATGCCAAGGGAGGTGGTCCTTTAAATGTTTCTGGAACATCTTCTAACACAAGTTCTGCTGCCAGTAATTCATTGCCTTCCATGTTTCCTGCCGGCAGCACGCCTCCACTTTCTCCAAGAAGTTCATCTGGTTCCCCTCGAACCACCAAGCAACAAAGGGCCTCTGTATTGGGTTCTCCTTTAAAATTAGTGAATGAACCAGTTAAAGAGCTTATACCTCAGGTTGGATAGCCTTGGCACTCCTTTTCTTAAAACATCATGGATGCTGATAAGCATTGTCGTTTATTGGTTTCTCTTTGTTAATTTTCTGGAATGACTGCAGTTTTACTTTCAAAACGGCCGTCCACCTCCAAATGAGATGAAAGAGCGGTGTTTGTTTAGGATCAATCAGTTCTTTTATGGCCACATGGATGGATTACAAATGCATGGTACGATCAAGAGTAGTATGTAGTAATGGCATGATATTCAGCTTTTATGATTTAGAAAATATAGTTTGCAGTAATAGCATTATATTCAACTTTTATGATTTAGAAACCATATCTTGTAGTAATAGTATGTTATCCAACTTTCAGTTACTCTAAGGTGTGTCATAAGTGACAATGTATAGAATTTAGAGATTTTTCATAACAATTTCTTTTCACTGACATTCCTTGTAATCAATTGTCAGAATTTAAACCTGTGACAAAGGAAATTTGCAAGCTGCCATCATTCTTCTCCAGTGCACTTTTCAGAAAGATGGATCTTGATGGTACAGGGATCATTACCAAGTACAGCTCTGTAACTAAGAAACTTCCTATATAGTCCAGTGTAGACCATACTATTTGTTAGTTTCAGACATCCATCATTTTGGACATTCCTTCTGCAATGTTGCATGTAAATCTTGCTTAATCTTGCTTCTTTTCT